AGTATTGATAAAAATTGGGAAAATTTACCTCTAGACATACTTTGTTGGGCCGTTATTTCACCAAGAGATACTTTTGTTGCAAAGTGTACTTCTACCCTTCTTTTAGTACCTGAATTTCCGGAAATAATTTAGTTATCTCCTTTTAATCATGTCCGTTCATTTTCATTGATCTCGTTTTATATCAACGGTTAGTATTATCCTAGTTGAATCATAAAAAGACCCGCCTACATTAAATGTTGTCAACACCCTTCTAAATTATGTGGTTCAGATCATATATTTCTTAGATCATGCGGCTCATATTAAAAGTTCTCAAACTTGTTAGGTGAGTTTTTGTGTTGAGTAAGAAGAGTAGTTTTCTTTTACAATTAGGGTTTCCAAATATATAGATCTATATGGACGCAAAACTTTAGCTCTGCTATTGTTTTTCTTCGATTCTGTGTGGATGGAGGTACATTGTTTCGTTTTGTGTGGAAATTGGACTTTCCAGGATGACGGTTCTTGGGACTTTGTTATTGACAAACAGAGGATGGCTAGGGTTGTACATGTGCCTCCTCAAATCAACCTGGCTGAGCTAACAAATGTTGTTGTTTCTGAGTTTGGTTTTCGCAGCAATACGGGTTCGGTTGATCTGAGCTTTTGGCCATCTCAAGGTAAAGATTTGAGCCCTGCTAACCAACATCCGCCTGTTATCCTTAGTACCAATAGTTCTCTAGCTTTTTTCCTCAGTAGCCTATGTTTGAACCGCGATTTGACGCTCTTTGTAAGCTTCAAAGGCGACTCCGTTCTCGTTACTAGTTCTTATTTCAAAACTCCCGACATTGCAAAGAAGAGACAGCATCATGATAACTTCTTTGGGAAGATTACTGAGAGTTTCCAAACACACGGTACTCCTTCTCACTTGCCTAGTGTCGGGTCTAAAACCAAGGCTAAATCCGTTTTCTGTTCTGATGATGAGCTGATTGTAGCTGCGGAGTCTGCTGAAGCTACTCTCCGTTCACGTATCCCCTTTGTTGACAGCCCTGCTCCTATCTCCAGCAAGAGACACAATGTCTTGTCGATTTCAGTTTGGGTTCAACTAGCAATACAACTGAAGCTACCCTTATGTCCCCTACACCCTTTGTTCAGAGTCCTGCTCTGCCCTCCACCGCTGATTTATTATCTGACAACGAAAACCTTGCTTTTGAAGTTCAAGAATTGGAAGTTAAGTTGAATGGTTCTGCTAATGAAGAGGATACTATGTTGAGTGACGAAGACGATGCTTACGTGCCAGTATGTGGTTATGAATATAATTTTTGGGAGAATTTGATAGATGATGAGTATGGTGGTTCAAATGCAGTAGAGATTATGTCTACTGATTATTCGTCTGACCAAATTAGAACCAATTCCTTTAACAATGGAAGAAAAAAAAGGACAATTTGCTGGGAGGAAAGATTCAACGTCAACCTCTAAACGCAATGGTAAACAGGCTAGGGATGATGGTCCTCCCCACATAAACGTACCTCCAAGGACGACCTCAGCCAGATTTCCAGGTGTCGGTCCGGGCCAAACACGTAAGCTTTCA